CAGCCTCCTGAGTAGCTGGGATTACAGGCACGTGCCACCATGCCCAGCTAATTTTTTGTATTTTTAGTAGAGACGGGGTTTCACCATGTTGACCAGGATGGTCTCAATCTCTTGACCTCGTGATCCACCCGCCTCGGCCTCCCAAAGTGCTGGGATTACAGGCTTGAGCCACCGCGCCCGGCCTGACACATAGTTTCTTTAATGTTAGTCCTATAACCTGTTAGCTGAGATTATTTTCTATCATGAAAGAAGCCAGACTGATCCCTGACCATCTGGGTTTCTTGTCATTCAGCCCATCCTTCCAACATGTACAACGTAACTAGTTTACAAAGTGCTTTCCTCCCCACAGACTCATCTAATGGTGCTACCTGCACTTCCAGGCTGGTGTCATCACTGATACCTATTTTACAGCTGTGAGATTGCAGTGCAGGGAGGTGAAGCACTTGGCTGTGTTTTTCCAATCACTGGTGAGACTCCCAGCCACTGCTGACCCCTTCCTTGACCTCATCTCAGCAAATGACAGCCTCAGCAGTTAGCAGGTTTTACCCCAGCAGAATGAAACAAAGTCAGGGTTAGGAACTTGGGTTTTTAAGTTGTCAGGGCTGGGTTGAAATCCTGGTTGCTGGGGGAGGGGGATGCATTTTAATACAGCCGCATAGAAGCGACAGTGTCTGCTTTGTCACTGGCCTTGGTTCCACAGCAGCCCTAGCACTGCAGTCTCAGCCCCACTTCCAGGCAAGGAGAAATTACTTTCTATATCATATGATTTGAAGTATTTATAAAACTGTCTCAGGAAAAGTCAATTTTAAAGTCTATTAGCATAGAAACTATAAATGAATCCCACAACAGACTGTCATAAACGCTATGTAGAAAAAACTATAAATGAAAAAGCTAGCTACATAAAAATGAAGAACTTCCATTGGAAAAAACGCCATGAATAAAAGACAAAAGTAACCTGGGAAAAACGACTGGGCACAGTGGCTCATGCCTGTAATCCCAACACTTTGGGAGGCCAAGGTGGGTGGATCACTTGAGGTCAGCCTGGCCAACATGGCAAAACCTCATCTCTAAATACAGAAATTAGTTGGGTGTTGTGGTGGGGCCCTGTAACCCCAGCTACATGGGAGGCTGAGGCAGGAAGCTTGAACTAAAGAGGCAGTGGTTGCAGTGAGCCGAGTGAAGCCACTGCACTTCAGCCTGGGCGACAGAGCGAGACTTTGTCTCAAAAACCACCACGGGGGAAAAAGAATTGCAATGCTTATGACAGATGAACTTCCTTGACTTACAAAAAAGTTGGTATAAAGTAACTTTTAAACCATTTACAGAGAGTATGTAAAGGTTGTTCACCAGAAAAGTATGAACATGAAGGATGTCCAGCAGCTTCACTTTTGAAAGGCAAATCAACTGAGGTACTGTGTGTGCCCTTTCACCTCAGACCAGCAAATACTAAAGTATCAATATGCCCACTATTGCCAAGACTGGAGAAACCAGCATTAACATACATTACTGATAGGAAAGTAAATGAGTATGCCTCGGGAGGGCAATTTGGCAAAAACTGGCAAAGTGCTGGTGTGCATGCTCTTAGAGCTGCGGCCTGTAGGGACTTGTATACAGTTACTCACTTCAGCTGTCTGGTGGTTGAAAAAAGAAACGGAAAGGTTTATTGTTAGGGCAGTGGTTGAATGACAGCACATCTAGACCACGAATAAGAGTGTACAGTTAAAAAGAATGAAGTTGGCTGGGCGCAATGGCTCACACCTGTAATCCCAGCACTTCAGGAGGCCTAACATGGTGAAACCCTGTTTCTACTAAAATTACAAAAAAATTAGCTGGGTGTGGTGGTGCATGTCTGTAGCACCTGTAATCCCAGCTACTCGGGAGGCTGAGGCAGGAGAACTGCTTGAACCCAGGAGGCGGAGGTTGCAGTGAGCCAAGATGGCATCATTGCACTCCAGCTTGGGCAACAAAAGCAAAACTCCATCTCAACAATCAAAAAAAAAAAAAAAAAGTAAAAAACTGTCAAACAGTAAAATATTGAAATGGAAAAATCTCCAAAAGATACCAAATTTTAAAAGTAGGCCATGTGCAGTGCCTCATGCCTATAATCCCAGCACTTTGAGAGGCTGAGGTGGGTGGAACACTTGAGATCAGGACTTCGAGTCCAGCCTGGCCAACATGGCAAAACTTAGTCTATACTAAAAATACAAAAATTAGCCAGGTGCAGTGGCAGGCACCTGTAAACCCAACTATTTGGGAGGCTGAGGCAGGAGAATTGCTTGAACCTGGGAGGCAGAGATTGTAGTGAGCCCAGATTGCGCCATACTGCACTCCAGCCTGGGCAACAGAGCGAGACTGTCTCAATTAAAAAAGAAAAAAAAGCAAGGTGCATCCTAGTATGTACATTATGATTCTATTTGCATAAAATACTGGTACAACATACCTATAGGGAGAAAGTACAGGATTCAAACAGAGGAATATAAAACAAAACGTTTTATATTACAAAACATTTATAAACCTTCACTTATAAAACAAAGGTTTTGTTTTACATTCTTCCATGTTTGAATTCTTTACTATGCATATTTGCTTTTAAAATTACCAGATTAGCCTCGAAAGATATTTCTTGTCCTCTAAGCCATTAAAAGGAATTTATTTAAATATGTAAGCATATATGCATAATACACATCCTCCATATGCAATGGAAATTTCTGGAAGAGTATGGAAACTTAAAGGGCTGTTTGGGTTTGCTTGTGACTGAAGGGTTACTAGGATGTGAGACTTTCACTTTTAAAACTGGGATGGGCTGGGTGCGGTGGCTCAAGCCTGTAATCCCAGCACTTTGGGAGGCCGAGGCGGGTGGATCACGAGGTCAAGAGATCGAGACCATCCTGGTCAACGTGGTGAAACCCCGTCTCTACTAAAAATACAAAACATTAGCTGGGCATGGTGGTGTGTGCCTGTAATCCCAGCTACTCAGGAGGCTGAGGCAGGAGAATTGCCTGAACCCAGGAGGCGGAGGTTGCGGTGAGCCGAGATCGCGCCATGGCACTCCAGCCTGGGTAACAAGAGTGAAACTCCGTCTCAAAAAAACAAAATAAAATATAGAAAAAAAAAAAAAACTGGGATGGCCACAAGTATCTTGCTTTTGACTTTTACTTTATGCCCTTCTTACTCCTCTGTTCGTTTAGATTTGCTTGCCGTGAGTATGTATTATTAATAGGTAATTACTTAATAAAGTAATCTTAGTTGTGTACAGTGGCCCAGGCCTGTAATCACAGGGCTTTGAGAGGCTGAGGCAGGAGGATTGCTTGAGTCCAAAGAGTTTGAGACCAGCCTGGGCATCACAGTGAGATCCCATCTCTACAAAATGTAAAAAATTAGCTGGGCATGGTGACTTGCACCTGTAGTCTCAGCTACTGAGGAGGCTTAGGTGGGAGGATCACTTGAGCCTGGAAGGTCAATGCTCTGGTGAGCTGTGATCATGCCACTGCACTCCAGCCTGGGCAAAAGAGCCAGATCCTATGTGGAAAAAAAAAAATCTTTTATTAAAGAAAGTTAAAAACGGTACATACATATGTTTGTGAATGAAAACAATCAAATTCTAGCCAAGTCAGTAGCTTGCACCTGTACTCCCACCTATTCAGAGGCTGAGGTGGAAGGATTGCTTGAGCCCAGGGCTTCAAGGCTACAGTGAGCTATAATCGTGCCACTGCACTCCAGCCAGGGCAACAGAGCAAAATCCTGTCTCTAAAAAGAAAAAAAACACCATTGTATCCATTATTCAAAGTGTAGTGTGTATTTACTATTTAAGAAGGAAATCTGGGTGTTAGCAAACTGTGGATATTGACAGTTTTTTCTGAGCTGAGTAAACTGGAACCATTTGCCACCCTATCAGAGTGGTTTGTCCACCAGATGGTGGCCATCTACACCATCGCTGGCCCTCACCTCTCCAGAAACCTTTATTCTGAGCACCCAGTAACACCGGTGAAAGTTGAAGGTTTTTCAAGTTGACCCAGAAGGTCTCAACTCTGGGATTATTCACTCAATTACTTGTTTTTGGTAGACTGATGTTTTGGTGTACAAAGCTACTTTTAAGTACTGAAAACATCAGTAATTATTTAGTACCATTATTTCAGTATATTTGGAAATCTGAATTATTTTGTGATTGTTATTTAGTTAATGCAAAAAAGACAAACCCTACAGTCTATAGGTCTAGGTGTGAAAGCTGCAATCAGCCACTCCCTTGAGTGGCCCAGAGTTCTGTATTAGTTCAGGGACTTTCTAACCAAGTGTAATAGAAAACCTGACAGCATTAATATTGTCTAGGCAACAGTATCAGACTCTTTATTTATATATGATGAAACAAAAAAAAAGACAAAACAAAAATTTTTTTTTTTTTTTGAGACAGTTTGGCTCTGTCACCTAGGCTGGGGTGCGATGGTGCAACGTTGGCTCACCGAAACCTCTGCCTCTCGGGTTCAAGCAATTCTCTTGCCTCAGCCTCCCAAGTAGCTGGGATTACAGGCACCCAGAGATGGGGTTTCTCCGTGTTGGTCATGCTGGTCTCGAACTCCCGACCTCAGGTGATCTGCCTGCCTCCACCTCCCAAAGTGCTGGGATTACAGGGGATGAGCCACCATGCCCGACCAACAAATGCTTTCAAAAAGCTATAGTCTCTAACCCCCAACTTGAAGATATGTTTTAAGAAGAATTAGGGTTAAGAGACAGGAAAGAAAGGATTTTTGTTCAAAATTATACTTTTTTTTAATTTTGAGATGGAGTCTCACTCTGTTGCCCAGGCTGGAGTGCAATGGCATGATCTTGGCTCACTGCAACCTCTGTCTCCCAGGTTCAAGCCATTCTCCTGCCTCAGCCTCCTGAGTAGCTGGGATTACAAGTGCCTGCCACCTCACCCAGCTAATTTTTGTATTTTTAGTAGAGACAGGTTCTACCACGTTGGCCAGGCTGATTTGGAACTCCTAACCTCAGGTGATCTGCTGGCCTTGGCATCTCAAAGTGCTGGGATTACAGGCGTGAGCCACCGCGTCTGGCCTCAACATTATACTTTTTTCTTCTTTTAACAGAATCTTGCTCTGTTACTCAGACCAGAGTATAGTGGCACGATCTCAGCTCACTGCAACCTCCGCTTCCCAGACTCAAGCGATTCTTATGCCTCAGTCTCCCGAGTAGCTGTAAGTACAGGCATGAGCCACCGTGCCTGGCTAATTTTGTAATTTTAGTAAAGATGTGGTTTTGCCATATTGGCCAGACTGGTCTCGAACTACTGGCATCAAGCAATGCGCCCTTGACCTCCCAAAGTGCTGGAATTACAGGAATGAGCCACTGCGTCTGACATTTTCTTTTTTAATACAAAAGAGGTCTGTGTTGTCCAGGCTGGTCTTGAATCCCTGGTCTCAAGCAATCCTCCCACGTCACCCTCCCAAAGTGTTGGGATTACAGGTGTGAGCCACTATGCCCAGCCAAAATGGTTACTTTTATATGATTAATATCTGTCAATATTAAAATGATGTATGGTTAATTTTGTTTTGTGACATTTATAAATATACATGAAATGCGTTAGTTTTTAAAATGTTGTACATATTTTGCTCTCTTAAAAATACCATTTTTATATTGCTTTCTGTATTGTGCAAAATAAATGCCAAAATACCAGTGTTGTATTTTTTTTTCTTTTTTCTTTTTATTTATTTATTTATTTTTGAGACGGAGTTTCGCTTGTTACCCAGGCTGGAGTGCAATGGCGCGATCTCGGCTCACCGCAACCTCCACCTCCTGGGTCCAGGCAATTCTCCTGCCTCAGCCTCCTGAGTAGCTGGGATTACAGGCACAGGCCACCATGCCCAGCTGAATTTTTGTATTTTTAGTAGAGACGGGGTTTCACCATGTTGACCAGGATGGTCTCGATCTCTTGACCTCGTGATCCACCCGCCTCGGCCTCCCAAAGTGCTGGGATTACAGGCGTAAGCCACCGCGCCCGGCCTTTTTTATTTTTTTATATGGAATGCTTCACGAATTTGCATGTCATCCTTGCACAGGGGCCATGCTAATCTTCTCTGTATCGTTCCAGTTTTTTAGTATATGTGCTGCCAAAGAGAGCACTGTATTTTTTTTAATACTGCAATCATTTTTTGTGACCTTGTCATCAAGGCAAGTTACTGAACTTTTATAGGTTTTCTCACAAATAAAATGGGGATACTCAGCTCAACTGCATTATTCTAAGAGCCGAGACACTGTATTAAGGTACCGAGCATTATAGGCTAGGACAAATTTATTATAAATTAGTTTAACCTAGCTCCATTTCAGCCACTTTTGATCTTTATGGAAACTCAGGATCTCCTTTACTCAGCCCCTTCTATCCTGGGCCCCCTTGGAGTTGTGAGAAGCCAGCAGACCCTTGAAGGGTCTTGGGAGGCCCCGGACAGCTTTGGGCCCTGCAGCTGATACCCTTGAGTACCATGCTGAGAGGTGATTATTTGAGGATTTTAAATTTTTTTCTTTTATTTCAATAGATTTTCGGGAACAGGTGGCTTTTGGTTACATGGATGAGTTCTTTAGTAGTGGTCTCTAAGATTTTGGTGCACTGTACCCAATGTGTAGTCTTTTATGCCTCAATCCCTTCCATGCTGTTTTTGAGGATTTTTTTTTCTTTGAGGTGGAGTTTCGCTCTTGTTGCCCAGGCTGGAGTTCAATGGCATGATCTCAGCTCACTGCAACCTCAGCCTCCTGGGTTCAAGAAATTCTCCTACTTCAACCTCCCGAGTAGCTGGGATTACAGGCATGTGCCACCACTCCTGGCTGATTTTATATTTTTAGTAGAGATGGGGTTTCTCGATGTTGATCACGCTGATCTCAAACTACTAACCTCAGGTGATCTACCCTCCTCAGCCTCCCAAAGTGCTGGGATTACAGGTGTGAGCCACCATGCCTGGCTTATTTGAGGAATTTTTTAAATAAGGGTTTTTGTTTGTTTGTTTGTTTTTGTTTTTGAGATGGAGTTTTGCTCTTGTTACCCAGGCTGGAGTGCAATGGCGCGATCTCGGCTCACCGCAACCTCCGCCTCCTGGGTTCAGGCAATTCTCCTGCCTCAGCCTCCTCAGTAGCTGGGATTACAGGCACGCGCCTTCATGCCCAGCTAATTTTTTGTAGTTTTAGTGGAGACGGGGTTTCACCATGTTGACCGGGATGGTCTCGATCTCTTGACCTCGTGATCCACCTGCCTCGGCCTCCCAAAGTGCTGGGATTACAGGCGTGAGCCACCGTGCCCGGCATTTGTTTTGTTTTCATTTGTTTTTTGAGCAATGGGCTTTTGCCTTGTTGCCCAGACTGGAAGTACATCGGCAGGATCAGCTTACTGCAGCTTTGAATTCATGGGTTCAAGCAATTCTTTTTCCCAAACACCTAGGATTACAGGCTTGAACTACCACATCTGGCTAAAAAATGAGTCCTGGCCAGGCACGGTGGCTCACGCTTGTAATTCTAACACTTTGGGAGGCTGAGGCGAGAGGATCACTTGAACCCAGGAGTTCAAAACTGCAGTGAGCTATGCTTGCACCACTGCACTCCAGCCTGGATGACAGAATGAGACCCTGTCTCTTAAAAAGTCTTAATACATGTCCTGCATTTCTTATCTCCACTAGGTAGTATGGTAGGAAATACGGGTTGGAAGTTCTGTATTCATTTTAGAATCTTGCTTTTTAAGTCTTCGGGGCATTTTAAGGCTGTGTTATACAGTACAGTAGCCACAAGCCACATGTGGCTATTAGCATTTGTAATGTGGCTAGTGTGAATGAGGAACTACGTTCATTTTATCCAATTTACATCATTTGGCTAGTGGCTCCCATACTGGATAAGCACAAGTATAGAACATTTATCTCATCTCAGAACAGTCTACTGGACAGCGTTAAGTTCTGAGGGCTTTCAACCCCATTTGATTCCAGCCCTTTGGAATTCAATTTACATTTTAATTTGAAATTTAAATTTGACTTGTGTTTACTGGATGGTTAAATAAACTCCAAAGAGGTTTAATCGTGTCTTTGGGTGAATGGATGTGCCGCCCAAGGAGACACTCCGCCCAACACATGCCTCCCCCACGACCCCGGCCCTCCTTGTGCTGAGCTGTCACCACACCTGGGGCAGGATCTCCTGGGCCAGTGCTCGTGCCCGGTGGTAGGCAGCGTCACCCTCCTCATTCTGGGCCACAGTGTGATTCACCAGCCCTAGTCCATGGGCCTGCGTTCCACTCAGTCGTCGACCGGTGAAGATGAGCTCCTTCGCCAGGGCCACCCCCAGGCAGCGTGGCAGCCTCTGAGTCCCTCCTGCCAGGATGGAGGGGGTAGGGTGGGAATCAGCATGGGAAGTGGGAACTCAAGAGAAGTCCCAGCCTGGTACTCAGCCAAGACTTCTCAGAGGAGCAGAGTTCGGATGAGAGGGCAGAGCTCAGAACAGAGGGCAAACAAGGAAGGCAGTAAAGGACCCTGGGTGGGGTGGAATTGGGCACGTGCTGCAGTTGCAATTACCTGCCCCCGGGAGGAGCCCTCGAGTAGTCTCAATCAGTCCCAAGACAGCCGAGGAAGCTGCTCAGACAGAACAGAGTGAGGCCTCCCTCCCCAGTCCCCCAGTGCTAATCCCTGGGGCTGCATCTGCCTGTGTTCTCTACTCGCCCCTCTAGCCACTTCCCCCATGGTCTGGCCATAGCCAGGCCTCGCCAGACTCTGCCTTTGGAAGAGCCCTAGCCCAGAAGTCAGGAGCCCAGGCCCTTATTTCACCATGCCCCTTCGGTGGAGTTGTGTGTCACCAGCAAGTCTCTCACCCTTCCCATGCCTCAAAGGTGGAAGACAGATGGCTGGCCCTCTTCTGTCTGCCTCAGATTGCCACTAAGGATCACATGAGGCACGACCCTTGGAACAAGCAGAATTCCTAGGAAGTGCCTGATGTCTATTAATAGATTCTCCGGCTTAGCCCTGGCCTGGCCTGGCCTAGAGTGTCAGTGACTCCTGCTCCCACTACAGTTGTCCCTCCCAGATTTGTCACAGCCTGAAATTTCCCTGTTGCAGTCCATGTCCTCCTGAGTTCTGCTTCCTTCCCTTGAGAAACTTGCCTTGACTGATGCACCCCTCCCAGGTCTGCCTCCTGAATTCTCTCAGCATGGCCATGTAAACGTGAGCAGAAGGGAGTGGATTTACATTCACTCCCCCTTAGTCTTCAGCAATCCTGAGAGTTAGTCGCCTGAACATGGGCACGTGAGAACCAGAGTTGGGGCTGGACCAGCCTGGTATTTTGGTACCCAGACACCTGGTCAGTTCATTTTCTTTGACTGCATAGTGTAGATAGCAGCGACTTTCATGCCTGGAGTTACACATTTTTATATGTCACTCCTGGGGTGGCAGGAGAGAGCAGTGAGAGGAGGAGAGAGGACATTCAGACTTTGCCTAACTGCATCCAAGAAGGGTGCTCCTCATCACTGTCAGTCACCTGAAAAAGGGATCGTTATCTTCTTTGTCCCCTCCCACTCTTCAGACAAAGCTCAATTGCTCAGAACAAGTAATGCAAATTTGGCTGGTGCTAGTATTCCTGCCCAGGCACCTTTGTGATTAGCTCAGCCACTGACAAACTATCCCTGGGGTTCACCTTTTTCTAAAACGTGGTAGATAAATCTGACGTGGACAGAATTGGAAGATTGGACATTGCTCTTTGACCTCCTTGGATCCTAATAGCAATTGCTCTGAGGTTGGTAAAATATTCCCAAAATGAAGGAAGCAGGTTCTGACAGGTGACGGGTACTATTGCAGCTAGTGGCTGCACCAGGAGGGGAAGCAGCTTCTGCCTGAGCACCCTGTGTGCCCTGCCTTGCCTTAGTTTTGCTTTTGGTTGGAAGCCAAGAACAGTGGCTGACTGCAGAATGACCACACTTACCCTGTTTCACTCACCCCCGATTCCCTAGCCCCACCCCTCCCCCCAGCCTTGGCCCAGTACCTGCCACTCGGAGGTCACAGGCCAGGGCAAGCTCCAGGCCTCCGCCCAAGGCAAACCCATCCATAGCCGCAATGGTGGGTGCAGGGAAGGCTGCTGTGGAGATGAAGAAGGACTCAGCCTGTGAGGCCCTGGTGGAACCAGGACAGAGACTCAAGGCTGGGGAGGGGCAAGTTGGTTGGGACAGAGACCTCAGTGAACCTGACCCATGTCTCAGGACCTCACATGGACCCTCAGCCAGGCTATCTTAATTCTTTTATTTTGAGACAGAGTCTCGCTCTGTCACCCAGGCTGGAGTACAGTGGTGTGATCTTGGCTCACTATAACCTTGCCTCCTGGGTTTAAGCGATTCTTCTGCCTCAGCCTCCTGAATAGTTGGGATTACAGACACCTGCCACCACACCAAGCACATTATTAAAAATGTTTTGTTAGTAGAGATGGGGTTTCACCAGGTTTACCAGGCTGGTCTTGAACTCCTGACCTCATGATCCTCCTGCCTTGGCCTCCAGAAGTGCTGGTATTACAGGTGTAAACCACCATGCCCAGCCTTTTTTTTTTTTTTTTCCCAGATGGAGGCTCGCTGTTGTCACCCAGGCTGGAGTGCAATGGCACAATCTTGGCTCACAGCAACCTCTGCCTCCTGCAGCCAGGGTTATCTTAACAGCCAGTTTTCCCTTTAGGGAAAGTTATGGAGTCAGTCAGGGAACAGGAATGGGCTGGATGATCCCTGCCGAGGCCTAATCTGCTGGCCTCCCTGGGACCTGCCTGTCTCTATTCCAAGTCCTGTGCTGGGTGCTGGGAACTGGGAACACAGAATATATCAGACATAGACCTTGTTCCCATGGGGCTCAGTCTCATGGGGAAGACAAGTGTGTATCAGGCATTAGTGACCCAGGATCATCAGTGCACCAACAAAAGGAAGATGGGAGGACGGACTGGGAAGGCTTCCTGGAGGAGGAGGTACTGGAGGCCTTGAAGGATGAGTAAAAGTTCAAGTAACCAAGAAGCGGTAACCCAGGCAAAGGGAACAGCAATTGTCAAAGCCTGAAAGCATGCTTGGCAAAACTTGACTGCTTTGGAATGGCCAGGCTTGAACTCTGAGGGTAGAGCGGGGCACAAAAGCTGAAGAGCCAGAGCTCCCTCTCTGGGAGAATTGCCCTCTGTCATCCTCCCCCAGTGAATTCCTTGTGCCTATCCCCCTGGGAAAGTCCTCTGTCTTCCGACAGAACTCCAAACAGAAAGAAGACTCTCCTTAGAGGCTGGTGGGGGTGGCGGGGCTGTCATCAGCAGGTGCCCCCAAAACCTCTCCTCCACTCCACACCCAGATCCTCACCGATGTCATTCATCAGGCCCCGGAGTCGCTGGACAAACACACCCACCTCTGCTTCACTCATCTGTTCCCGCTCCTTCAGGTCTGCACCTACAGATGGCGAGGGGTTGGTACCAGTCCTCAGGAAAATGGCCCTTTATGGAATCCCAGGCCCTTTATGGATCCAGCAAAGAAGACCTGAGGATAGGCAGCCAGAGAAGGAGAAACACCAGGAACCCAGGCAAGGAAGCCATGGGAAAAGAGGACCATCAAACAAGGAGGGTGCAACACAGAAAGGTGAACTGGACTCCATCAAAATGGAAACCTTCTGTGCATCGGAGGACACTATCATGAGAATACAAAGACAACCCACAGAAATGGCCAGGCATGGTGGCTCACGCCTGTAATCCCAGCACTTTGGGAGGCTAAGGCAGGTGGATCACCTGAGGTCAGGCATTCAAGACCAACACACTGAAACCCTGTCTCCACTAAAAATACAAAAATCAGCTGGGCATGGTGGCAGACACCTATTACCCCAGCTACTCAAGTGGCAGAGGCAGGAGAATCCCTTGAACCCTGGAGGTGGAGGCTGCAGTGAGCCGAGCTCACACCACTGCACTCCAGCCTGGGAAATGAGCGAGACTCTGTCTCAAAAAAAAAAAAAAAGAAAGAAAAGACAACACACAGAATGGAAGAAAATATGCTCAAATCATACAGCTGATAAAGAATTAATATCTAGGATATATAAAGAACTCCTCCAACTCAACAACAAAACAACCAGATTCAAAAATGGGCAAAGGGCCAGGTGCAGTGGCTCACACCTGTAATCCCAGCACTTTGGGAAACCAAGGTGGGCACATCACCTGAGGTCATGAGTTTGAGACCAGACTGGACAACATGGTAAAACCATGTCTCTACTAAAAATACAAAAATTAACGCCGGGCGCAGTGGCTCACGCCTGTAATCCCAGCACTTTGGGAGGCCGAGGCGGGTGGATCACGAGGTCAAGAGATCGAGACCATCCCGGTCAACATGGTGAAACCCCGTCTCTACTAAAAATACAAAACATTAGCTAGGCATGGTGGCACGTGCCTGTAATCCCAGCTACTCTGGAGGCTGAGACAGGAGAATTGCCTGAACCCAGGAGGCGGAGGTTGCGGTGAACCGAGATCGCACCATTGCACTCCAGCCTGGGTAACAAGAGCGAAACTCCGTCTCAAAAACAAACAAACAAACAAACAAACAAACAGTGTTGGCCAAACCCTGGTGCATTGCTGCTGGGAGTGTAAACCCATGCAGCTGCTACGGAAAACAGTTCCAAAAAGTTAAACAGAATTGCCATACGATTCTAGTCCTAAGTACACACCCAAGACAGTTGGAGGCAAGGACTCAAACAAATACAATCCCTCCTTATCTGTAGGGAACTGGTTCTAGGACCCCCTTAGATACCAAAATCCATGGATACTCAAGCCCCTTGTATAAAATATTGTAGTATTTGCAATATGACCTATGCACATATGTCCTCCTGTATACTCTAAGCCAGGGGTGTCCAATCTTTTGGTTTTCCTGGGCCACATTGGAAGAATCATCTTGGGCCACACATAAAATACACTAACACTAACAATAACTGATGATGAGCTTAAAAAAAAAAAAATCACAAAAAAATCTCATAATGTCTTAAGAAAGTTTACAAATTTGTGTTGGGCCACAATTCCAAGCTATCCTGGGCCACATGTGGCCCAGAGGCTACGGGTTGGACAAGCTTGCTCTAAAGCATCTCTAGATTACTTGTAATACCTCATACAATGTAAATGCTATGTAAACTGTTGTACTGTGTTGTTTTTATCTGTATTTTTAGTGTTGCATTATTATTATTATCTTTTGAGACAGAGTCTTGCTCTGTCACCCAGGCTGGAGTGCAGTGGCATAATCCCAGCTCACTACAACCTCTGCGTTCTGGATTCAAGCAATTCTTCTGCCTCGGCCTCCCGAGTAGCTGAGATTACAGGTGCCTGCCACCATGCGCGGCTAATTTTTGTATTTTTAGTAGAGATGGGGTTTCACCATATTGGTCAGGGTGGTCTCGAATTCCTGACTTCAGGTGATCTGCCTGCCTTGGCCTCCCAAAGTGCTAGGATTACAGGCGTGAGCCACCACACCTGGCCTACAATTTCTAAAATATGTAAGTAATAAGAAAATTAAAAATTAATTAATTTTTACAGGCAGGATCAGCAAGGTCCATGGAGGCTGAGGTCAAAGGTCAAGTAAAAGAGAACGGAAGTGAGCACAGGATACAGTGGCATACAGGTAGGCAAGCACCTTAGCAGGAGTGACTGTGGTGGGGTCTTCAAAGGCCAGATGCAGGGGTGAGCAGGAGTAGGGGATAAGACTCTTTTACAGTCCTAGACTGCAGGAAGTCAGAGCTGAGAGAGCCTTTGGAAGTCTTTGATCAGTTCTAGCCCTTTTGTGACAGATGGGGAAACTGAGGGCCAGAGGGGCAGGAACTAACCCAGGATTCTAGAGCTAGGTGAGGCAGAAGTGAGCCTCATGCAGCCCCTTCCTTCTCTGTGCTAAGCTGGGAGGGTGATAAGCAAAGCTAATGGTGGGAGGAAGAACAGGTATGACATGACCTTGACAGAGGTCAGAGATGGAGCCAAAGGAAGAGGCTAGGGTAGGGTAAAGACCTCAGCCAGGGAAGCTGGGTCAGGCTGACTGGTCTGCACACTTGTCAGCACAGACCCTAGGCAGGGCACCCTGACTCTGACAGCTCAGACCTAAGGGCTGAGCCATCTCCCCTTAAAATCTCCTGAGCATCATGCTTCCCATTTCCTATCCCTCCACAGCCTCCTCCTGCATCACAGTAGCCCCTGTGGGCCCCTCTCCAACTACCGTCTCAGAGTCTGTTCTCAGCTCAGCTCCACTGGCAGCTGACTTGCCTCTTGTGGGCCTGGTGTGTGTTTTTCCTCCAATCTCTAAAATGGAAGTTCATGGTGCTTGCCCAGTTGTGAGGACCAAATGACACAGGGATAGTGGAGGGCTTTGGTGACAGGGAATGAGATCCTATTGGAAGGCAAAGGGTCACAGAGTTCCATCTTGGCTACTGACCTTATGAGCATCTCTGGACTTCATTTTCTTTTCTTTTTTTCCTCCTCAGGCTAGAGTGTAATGATGCGATCTCAGCTCATTGCAACCTCTGCCTCCCAGATTGAAGCGATTTTCCTGCTTCAGCCTCCTCAGTAGCTAGGATTAGAGGTGCCTGCCACCATGCCCAGCTAATTTTTTTTTTTTGAGATGGAGTCTCACTCTTCCACCCAGACTGGAGTGCAGTGGCACAATCTCAGCTCACTGCAACTTCTGCCACCTGGGTTCAAGCGATTCTCCTGCCTCAGCCTCCCGAGTAGCTGGGATTACAGATGCCTGCTACTGCACCTGGCTAATATTTGTATTTTTAGTAGAGATGGGGTTTTACCATCTTGGTCAGGCTGGTCTTGAACTCCTGACCTCATGATCTACCCGCCTCAGCCTCCCAAAGCGCTGGGATTACAGACATGAGTCACTGCACCCATCTTGGACTCCATTTTCTTATATACCCCGTGAAGGGTCAAAACAAAGCATGGCATAGCAGAAATAACTAGGATCTAAGGGTTAGAGAGGCCAAGTTCAAACTGAAGTCTGTCCTACCTCTTACTAGCTGTGTGATCTTAGGTAAGGGAATTTTCCTCCCTGAGTCTCTGCATTCACATCTGTAAAATGGGAATGAGTCCCATGCTGGAGCTGACCTAAGGTTTCCCCCAACCCCTGGAGGCTGGTGGGCACCCTGCAGAGCCCCAGGATACGGGCAGGGGTGAGAACCTACCTGCACAGAATACACCCTTCACTCCACTTCTGAAGAGGAGGACACGTACTTGCCGGTCCTCCCGCAGCTGGGCCAGGGCTTCCAGCAGCTACAGAGGACACCCTGTTAGATACCTCCCAGCCCATCCCAGCCCACCCTAGAGCCCACCCTAGAGCCCACCCTTTCTCACCTCACTGACGAAGACGTTTCCCAAGGCATTACGGGCACGAGGTCTGTTCATGAGAATCTCAGTGATTCCTGCAACAGACAGGGCAGCCATGGGTCAGAAGCTGGCTCTGCCTAATCCTGGGCTGGGGACTGGAGGCAGAAGGCCTGGGCTTTGGGCAGCCTCTGCCCTAGATGACCAGAGTAAGTTGGCGCAAGTCACACACTCAGGCAGTCCTCAGTTTTCCCAACCATAAAATGGAGAGAATAACCCTTGCTTTTTCTGCCTCAGAGACAAAGTGGAAGGGCGTGTAAACTGTGGAACAAAATGGCAAGAGGAACAAGAATGATCATCACGGTAGCACTTGCCTGCTTCTGCCATTGTTAGACAGACAGACAGACATACACCCGCACCCATGCACCTTCTTTAATTTCACAACTCCCTTCATATTAATCTTTTCTTTTTTCTCTTTGTTTGGGGGAGGGGTGTTTTTTTTTTGTTTGTTTGTTTGTTTGTTTTTTGAGACAGGGTCTGACTGTCACCCAGGCTGTAATACACCGTTGTGAACATGGCTCACTGCAGCCTTAACCTCCTGGGCTCAGGCGATTCTCCTGCCTCAGCTCTGGAAATAGCTGGGACTACAGGCATGCCCCACTACACCTGGCTAATTTTTCTGTTTTTTTGTATTTTTAGTAGAGGCAGGTTTCACCATCTTGCCCAGCCTGGTCTCAAACTCGTGAGCTCAAGTGATCGGCCCACCTCAGCCTCCCACAGTGCTGGGATTACAGGTGTGAGCCACTGCCCAGCTTTGATCATTTCTTCACAGTCAGACTTCTTCCTCTAGAGTTTGAGGAGTTATGATAAGGCAAATACCCTTGTAACTGCCACCCAAATCAAGAAATAGAACTGTGCCAGTCACCTCAGAAACCCCACCATGTGCCCTGACTCAATCTAGCTCCTTCCTTCCCCCTGAACAAGTCACTCTTTTGACTTACAGTAATCACCTCCGTGTATTTCTTTATAATTTTTTTTTTGAGACTGTTGCCCAGGCTGGAGTACAATGACACAATCTCGACTCGGCATGATTTTGACTCACCTCAATCTCAACTCACCGAAACCTCTGCTTCCCGGGTTCAAGTGATTCTCCTGCTTCAGCCACCCAAGCAGCTGGGATTACAGACATGTGCCACTACACCCGGCTAATTTTGTATTTTTGGTAGAGACCGAGTTTCACCATGTTGGTCAGGCTGGTCTCAAACTCCTGACCTCACTCAGGTGATTCACCCACCTCAGCCTCCCAAAGTGCTGGGATTACAGGCATGAGCCACCACACCCGCCATTTCTTTATAATTTTATCACCCAGGTGTGGATGCCTAGGTATCATAGGTTAGACTTGCTCATTTCTAAAATTACCATGTATCTTTTAAAGCCTGTTAACAATCCCCACATGCTCCCCGAAACCCTGTCTTTCCCTCAAAGGTTATCTGTGGAGGAGCCTGGGGCATTTGTCCTGCAGGGTTTCTTAAAGCCTGGGTTTTGCTAATTGTACAATCACAGGGGAAATCAATACGATCCTCTGTCACAAGAAGTTAGCATCTTACACAGAGGCTTGGGGTTCTGTCCTGTTTGGCAAGACAGTAACCCTTGCCCTACCTGTGTAATGTTCTTTCACCAGCAACTGCCAAGCTTCTTAGCAGTTTTCTATACTCATTTAGTCACTTTCTTACCTTCCATTCATTCAAACCTTCTCCAATCTAGGTTCCAGCCCCATCACTCAGCAGAGATTATTCTCATTAAAATGACCAATATAGCCGCATCACTAACCAAGCGACATGTTTCTCTTAACTCAACCTGGCAGCAGCAGAAACCTCTGCTGACATTAACATACTCCTTCTTGATCATTTTCTGCTTTGGCTTCTTAAAAGAATATTTATTTAGGCTGGGCATGGCTCATGCCTATAGTCCCAGCACTCTGGGAGGGCGAGGCGAGTAGATCACAAGATCAGGAGTTTGAGACCAGCCTGGTCAACATGGTAAAACCTTGTCTCTACTAAAAATACAAAAATTAGCTGGGTATGTGGTAGTGCGTGCCTGTAATCTCAGATACTGGGGAGGCTGAGGCAGAATGGCTTGAACCCAGGAGGCGGAGGTTGCAGTGAGCCAAGATCGTGCCACTGCACTCCAGCCTGGGTGACAGAGTGAGACTCCGTCTTAAAAAAAAAAAAAAGCCAAGGCCCAGTGGCTCATGCCTGTAATCCTAGCACTTGGGGAGGCCAAGGTGGGCAGATCACCTGAGGAGTTAGAGACCAGCCTCACCAACATTGCCTTTCTGGTCCCAGCAGCGGGGATGGGGCTGTGCTGCACCTTTCCCACTCTTACCAAACCTACCATACCACTGAGCAGCTGACCTAGGGTCACTTCTGTCCAGATGGCTTGGGTTGCAGGCTAGGTGGTATGGGTAGGAGTCAACAGAAATTACTAGAAGGGCCGGGCGTGGTGGCTCACACCTGTAATCTCAGCACTTTGGGAGGCCGAGGCAGGTGGATCACAAGGTCAAGAGATTGAGACCATCCTGGCCAACACGGTGAAACTCAGTCTCCACTAAAAATACAGAAAAATTAGCTGGGCGTGGTGGCGCGTGCCTGTAGTCCCAGCTACTTGGGAGGCTGAGGCAGGAGAATTGTTTGAACCTGGGAGGCAGTGTTTGCAGTGAGCCGAGATCGCGCCACTGCACTCCAGCCTGGGCAACAGAGTGCGACTATCTTAAAAAAAAAAAGAAAAGAAAAGAAAAGAAAAGAAAAGAAACCACTGAAGGGTAGTGTGGAGAACAACTGGTTTAACAACCTCACTACCCAGAAGGGGAAACTGACACCCACACACAAAGAGAATTTGCTCAAATAACAGCTGGGCCCAGCTGGCAATCCTCAATCTCAAGAGCTAGCAGCCTTGGACGGAGACAAGTTCAGACACACTAAACATAAAGGGACAGTGTCGGGGAGGGAACAGCAGAGCAGAGGAGTTCCAGAAAGATTTCGATAGGCAGAAAGGAAGGGAGAGGAGCCAAGTCGGGGCACAGCTAGAGCAAAACATGAGGGAACACACCTTCCAATGAGCCCATGGGTAGAGGAGGTGAGATGGAAAGGCCAGGTTGTGGAGGAGAACCTTGAATGCCCAGCTAAGGAGCTGAAGGAGAACCATTAATTATAGTCATGCGCCGCATGATGATGTTTTAGTTGATCAACTATAGACCACATATAAGACATGTAAATCCCATCAGATTATCATGGAGCTGAAAAATTCCTATTGCCTAGTGACACTGTAGCTGTCATAACATCATAGCGCAATGCATCACTCAAATGCTGGTGGTGAGGCTGGTGTAAACTAGCCTGCATTACCAGTTGTACAAAACCACGGATTGTACCAGTTGCACAATTGTACCAGTTGTACAGTTAGGCCCAGAACATAATACTTGATAATAATAAATGACTATATTTTGGGTTTATATATTTGCTATATTATTTTTACCATTATTTTAGAATGTACTACTTTTTTTTTTTTTTTTTTTTTTTTTGAGACGGAGTTTCGCTGTTGTTGCCCAGACTGGAGTGCAATGGCACGATCTCGGCTCACCGCAACCTCCGCCTCCTGGGTTCAAGCAATTCTCCTGCCTCAGCCTCCCGAGTAGCTGGGACTACAGGCACGCACCATCATGCCCAGCTAATTTTTGTATTTTTATTAGAGACGAGGTTTCACCTTGTTGACTAGGATGGTCTCGATCTCTTGACCTGGTGATCCACCCGCCTCGGCCTCCCAAAGTGCTAGGATTATAGGCGTGAGCCACCGCGCCCAGCCAGAATGTACTACTTTTTAATTTTTTTGTGACAGGGTCTTACTCTGTTGCCCAGGCTTGAGTGCAGTGAAATGATTGTGGCTCACTCACGGGTTAAAGACCTTTGGGCTCACTTGCAAATATCAGGAATCCTCAATATTGGACAGGCTTGACTTCCCCGGCTCAAGCCATCCTCCCACCTCAGCCTCCTGAGTAGCTGGGACTACAGGTACGCACCACCATGCCTGACTAATTTTTATATTTTTTGTAGAGACAGGGTTTCACCATGGTTCCCAGGCTGGTCTCAAACTCCTGGGCTCAAGCAATCTGCGTTCCTTGGCCTCCCAAAGTGCTGGGATTACAAGGGTGAGCCAGGTGAGCCACTGCACCTCCTACTTAAAAAAAGAAAAAAAGGTTGTGTAACACAGCCTCAGGCAGGTCCTTCAGTAGGTGTTGCTGATTGTTACTGCAGGGGATGACAGCTCCATTGCATGTTATTGCCCTGAAGACCTACCAGTGGAACAATATGTGGAGGTGGAAGGCAGTGATAGGCCTAGGCTCATGTATGTGCTTGTGTCTTAGTTTTTTTTTTTTTTTTTGAGATGGAGTTTCGCTCTTGTTACCCAGGCTGGAGTGCAATGGCTCAAACTCTGCTCACCGCAACCTCCGCGTCCTACGTTCAGGCAATTCTCCTGCCTCAGCCTCCTGAGTAGCTGGGATTACAGGCATGCGCCACCAGGCCCAGCTGATTTTTTTTTGTATTGTTAGTAGAGATGGGGTTTCACCATGTTGACCAGGATGGTCTCGATCTCTTGACCTCGTGATCCACCCGCCTCCGCCTCCCAAAGTACTGGGATTACAGGTGTGAGCCACTGCGCCCGGCCCGTGTCTTAGTTTTTAACAAAGAAAGTTTAAAAATTAAAATTTTAAAAAGCTTATAAAATAAGGATCTAAAGAAAGAAAATATTTTTTGTACAGCTGTACAATGTGTTTGTGTTTTAAGCTAAGTGGGTTAATACAAAAGAGTCAAAATGTTGAAAAAATTAAAAAGTTTATAAAGTAAAAACAGTAAGCCAAGATTAATTTATTATTGAAGAAAGAAACACTTTTAAAGCTAATTTAGTGTAGCCTAGGTGTACAGTGTTATAAAGTCTACAGTAGTGTACAGTAATGTCCACAAACCCCTAGGTTGTGGACCCATCCTAGTCTGTGGCCTGCTAGGAACTGGGCCACACAACAGGAGGTGAGCAGCTTCATCTGTATTGACAGCAGCTCCCTATGGCTTGAATTGCTGCCTGAGTTCCACTGCTATCAGATCAGTGGTGGCATTAGAGTCTCTTAGGAGTGCGAACGCTATTGTGAACTGTGCATGTGAGGGATCTAGGTTGCTATAAGCTCCTTATGAGAATATAATGCCTGATGATCTGAGGTGAAACAGTTTCATCCCCAAAGCATCTGGCCCCCTACCACCCCCGCAAGTCCATGGAAAAGCTGTCTTCCATGAAACCAGTTCCCGGTGCCAAACCAGTACTGCTGTCCTAGGGCTTCCGCAAGCTTCATTTATGGTAACTGCCCAATACAGGTACGTATACTGCTTAAAAAATCTTTTAGGCAGTATTTTTACTGTGCTTTTTCTTTTTTTTTTTTTTTTTTTTTTTGAGACGGAGTTTCACTCATGTTACCCAGGCTGGAGTGCAATGGCGCGATCTCGGCTCACCGTAACCTCCGCCCCCTGGGTTCAGGCAATTCTCCTGCCCCAGCCTCCTGAATAGCTGGGATTACAGGCACGCGCCACCATGCCCAGCTAATGTTTCGTATTTTTAGTAGAGACGGGGTTTCACCATGTTGACCAGGATGGTCTCGATCTCTTGACCTCGTGATCCACCCGCCTCGGCCTCCCAAAGTGCTGGGATTACAGGCTTGAGCCACCGCGCCCGGCCAGGACTGTGCTTTTTCTGATACACAAATACTTACCACTGTGTTATAGCTGCCTATAGTATTCAGCCCAGTACTATGCTGACCAGGTTTCTATTGTAGGAGCAACAGGCTATACCTCACGTAGCCTCAGTGTGTAGAAGGATATCCCATCTGGGATGTGTAGGTACACACTGTGGTGCTCCCACAATAATCACAGTCACCTAATGATGCATTTCTCAGAATGTAGCATCACATGTTGTAAAGCAACACATGACTGTATGAGAAATAAAGCTGTTGAAGAGCAGTGAAGAGCAGTTAAGCAGCCAACCTCAAGCTCAAGGGCAGCAGGTAAAATGTAACAGTGCTCTGGTGCCATAAGCCCCAGCGGACGGCAGAACCCGCAGCTTCCAACGTGGACATCAAATGACCCCAACTCATTCCCTGTGAGGCCTGTGTGTGTGATCTCGTCCCCATGGCTCCTCCACACTGTCACCTTGGTTTCTGTCTCTCCTTCTCTGACTTTCCCTGCCCTTTGTGCCCTCTGGCAGGGGCAGAGGCTTAATCTGCTGATAGCTGTCATTCTTTTTTGGATAAAATGATTCCCTACATTTGCAAATGAGCCTAAAGGTCTTTAACCCATGATAATTTTGTATTACAGATGTTCAAGTCTGTGTTTTGAATCAGTGAATTACAAGTAATTACTAGAATTACTAGAAGTGATTAGTGACTATCATTACCAGTGATTACCTAATGGTTGAGAACCCAGGCCTTGAAATCAGACCTGGTTCAAACAACTTAAGCTTCTGTGCCTCAGTTTTTTACTCTGTAAAGTGGGGAGAATAATCTTGACTACCTTAAGGTAACAGCTGTTGTCAATTGGGAAGTGAACTAAGCATGGGGTATAAGGTCTAGCAATCCCACCTGGTCAAGGTAATTCTCAATAATTAATTCCCAAGGTAATTCTCAATAATTGCTGTGAGACACCAGGTGGCCTGTCCGTGTCCACTGAGGGTGGTAAATGCACACTTAGGAATAGTGGGCAACAACAGGGAGCAAGGAACTGGATTTTACGGCAAAGCCCCTCTTCAAACTTAGTGTCAAGCGGTAAAAACGAAGCAATACAATGAAATGTACAGTACAATGTCATCTGTGTATCAAACGCAGGGGACAGGGGATGAGATGGGGAGGAGACTCAAGACAGGAGAACCGCCTAGCCCTGAGGGTTAGGAGCAGAGGACTGAGGAGCGTTATCAGCACCATTGAATGCTCCTGAAGTCCAAACAACAACAAAAACGCAACACGTGATTGGAGGACGCCAGTGACCCGCGAACTTCCCCTTCCATACTACCCTTGATTTTGGCCAAAGGGCGGAGAAGCAGCGAACTTTCCCCTGGAGCCAGAAGGACTCAAAGGTTCGCGAGCAGCCCAGGGCGGGCGCAAGGCTGGAGAGACACCCTACTCGCTCCGCCCGCCGTGCTGTGCTCCTAGCGGTCGCCGCACGCCCCGAGGGATTGGTTCTGCTGCCTCCGCCCCCAAACGGGGCAACGACCCAAGGCGGGGGAGGGAACGCGCACTTGAATGCTCCTGGCGGTGGTGGGGGAGGCGCAGGGCCCAGTCCTAACCTTTGCAGAACCCTCTCCCCTTCCACGCAGTCGGAGGACCCCAAAGGGCCTTTGAGGAGACTAAGGTTGCCAGAGGCCCCCAGTCACTAAGGCGGCCGCCCACCTCTCGGCCCTGGGGCAGCTTGGGACGCCTAGAACTGGGAGGGAGGGACTGGGGATCGAATCTTCCAACGCCCTGAGCGGCCCGCCTGTCCGCCCCCGGTTGCCTCCGGCCCCGGCCTCGTGCGGGCCGCGTCCAGGGCCAGCGCATTTACCTCGGTCGGGACCCGCCAGAGCGCGCACTTGGATCTCGGGGCCCCCGGCCGCCCCGTCGGAAGCGCAGCCGCGGGCCCAAAGGGGCCTCCAGGGGCGCGGGAGGCACAGGACGCGTAGCATCGGGGCGCAGGATGGGAGGGAAGGTGTTTCTCGGGCCCCGCACCGTCTCGGCTCCCGCTGAAAGCTCGCAGTTCCCGCAGCTGGCTAAACCTTCGCCAAGTGCTCCACCTACAGGCCCGAGGGGCTGCTGCCACGGTCCGCGTCTCCTGGGGACAGGGACACTTGAGCGGGGGTGGGGAGCCCAGCTCCTCAGTGTGATTCGGGGTAACCCTGTCAACCTCCCAACGTCCGTGTTTTAATCTTGTAAAATTGGGATAATAATAGTGACTACCTCGTGGTGATGTGAAGATTAAAGGGGTGTGTGAACCTTGCTTGCACATATGCTCAATTTCATTTTTTAAATGAAATGACATTTCATGAGTCCCTTGAGCGTTGTGTATATTCATGAACTTCACTGCCTCACCTCCCATTTGTGCCTCACTTTTTTTTTTTTTTTTTGAGATGAAGTCTTGCTGTGTCCCACTTGCTGGAGTGCAGTGGCTCCATCTTGGCTCACTGCAACCTCCAACTCCGGGTTCAAGCGATTCTCCCGTCTCAGCCTTTCCAGTAGCTGGGATTATAGGCACGTGCCACCATGCCCCGCTAATTTTTTTTGTATTTTTAGTAGAGGTGGGGCTTCACCATGTTGGCCAGGCTGGTCTCAAACTCCTGACCCCAAATGATCTGCCTGCCTTGGCCTCCCAAAGTGCTGGGCTTACAGGGGTGAGCCACTGTGCCTGGCCTGTGCCTCAAATTTAATGGGAGTAAATTTAACTTGAGTCCCAATTTAGTGCTCAATAAGTTGGCTCACAAAAATATTTGTGAATGTCAATCTCCGGCTTCTAACCCCACTGTCCACCCAAACTGCCTTTGCAGAGGTCAGCAGCAGCCTTGTTTAGTTCATTAAGGGTAGTTCAATAAATAGTATTCAGTGCACATTCTATATCCCCCAACCTCCTACCTGGGAGACATATCAAAGATCCCAAAGTCACTTATAATCCTGGCTTGTCAATTAAAAAACATCAAATGGGGCCGGGCGCGGTGGCTCAAGCCTGTAATCCCAGCACTTTGGGAGGCCGAGGCGGGTGGATCACGAGGTCAAGAGATCGAGACCATCCTGGTCAACATGGTGAAACCCCGTCTCTACTAAAAATACAAAAAATTAGCTGGGCATGGTGGTGCGTGCCTGTAATCCCAGCTACTCAGGAGGCTGAGGCAGGAGAATTGCCTGAACCCAGGAGGCGGAGGTTGCGGTGAGCCGAGATTGCGCCATTGCACTCCAGCCTGGGTAACATGAGTGAAACTCTGTCTCAAAAAAAAAACATCAAATGGTTAAAGCATTAAAGTTCATTTTATTCAATCTTACTGAAGATTATAAACCAGGAGGAGTCTTGCAGAGAGTTTCTATCAGACTGCTCCAAAACCATGTTTCAGCCCACAGCCTACATACAGGTTGTGGAGGCTTTTCATGTACTCAGAAGTTACAATAGAGAAAACTAGACCTAATGCACTGACCCATTGCACTGACCTGAAGAAGGCATCCCTTCCAGTGCCCTTAAATGTGAATATCCTTAAAATCAGAAACATGAGCATACCCCACGAAGCATGAGCATACCTTGCAAAAATGTGAGTGTACCTCACAAAGTGTGAGCATTTCCTGCAGGGCCCATAGGGCCAGGCTCTCTGAAGAAAACAAAGTCTCCAAGACTTTCACCTAAAAATCTGAGGTCTTGAGTCAGAGAGGGCTTACCTGATTGCTCCTCAATGTAGATGGATGACAGCTGAGCTCAAGGGGCTTTTGCAGGTGCTGATGCATTAGTCTAGATAATGCTTGGAAGGAGCTTGGGGCCGCTTTTTATCCCATCTTCCCTGCCAAGAAATGTTAACAAAAGACCATAAGATCTGTGGAGGAAAAACAGAAAGCTTCATTTTCTTTCTTTCTTTTTTTAGGTCCCACTTGTCAATTTTTGTTTTTGTTGCATTTGCTTTTGGGGACTTAGTCGTAAATTCGTTGCCAAAGTCAACGTCCAGAATGCTACTTCCTAGGTTTGCTTATTGAAACTGGACCTCTTCCTTTCCCCATATAAAAAAATTAACTGAAGATGGGTTAAAGACTTAAATGTAAGAACATTTGGGTAGTTTCTAATTCTAAAAACCAGGAGTGTCCGTTGGGTGCTCCTTTCAGGCTAGTGGGAAGAGTTTTCAGGTCACATTATGGGAACCCTACAGGAGCCCTCCCATTATAGTAACTCTCTTAGCTCAGAGATGCAAACAGGATGTTTGTTTGGGGCTACCCTATCTGAGAATAACAAGTGCATGAATGCCCTTCTTTCACTCACCATGGTCACTGTATTCCTATTATCTTATTTGGTGTCTCTATCAGCCACAGAAAGTCCATCTCTTCTGGAGAGGTTGGGGTCTTATTTACATTTTCATTCAGTAACTACTATGTGCCAATTAAAAGTAATAATAGGCCGGGCGCGGTGGCTCAAGCCTGTAATCCCAGCACTTTGGGAGGCCGAGGCGGGTGGATCACGAGGTCAAGAGATCAAGACCATCCTGGTCAACACGGTGAAACCCCGTCTCTACTAAAAATACAAAACATTAGCTCGGCATGCTGGTGCGTGCCTGTAATCCCAGCTACTCAGGAGGCTGAGGCAGGAGAATTGCTTGAACCCAGGAGGCGGAGGTTGCGGTGAGCCGAGATCGCGCCATTGCACTCCAGCCTGGGTAACAAGAGCGAAACTCTGTCCCAAAAAAAAAAAAAAAAAAAAGTAATAATAAAAGCAAAAAAATCTAAAAAAGTGATCCAACTATATAATGTCTACAAGAGGCTCACTTCAGATTCAAAGACATAAATAGGTTGAAAGTGAAAGGATGGAAAAAGATATTCTATACAATAGTAACCAAAAAAGAGCGGGAATGGCTATACTAATGTCAGGCAAATACACTTTAAATTTTAAAAGTTTATAAGAGACAAAGAAGAACAGTATATATGAATAAAATATTAAATACAGCAAAAAGGTATTACTATTACAAACATTTATACACCAATGACAGATCATCAAAATACAGGAAGCAAAAACGGAGAGAATTGAATGGAGAAACAGACAATTCTACAATAATTGTTGGAGACTTTAATATTTCACTCTCAAAAATGGATAGAACAGGCCAGGTGTGGTGGCTCATGCCTGTAATCCCAGCACTTTGGGAGGCTGAGGCCGGCGGATCATTTGAGGTCAAGAGTTGGAGACCAGCCTGGCCAGCATGATGAAACCCTGTCTTTATGAAAAATGCAAAAATTAGCTGGCCATAGTGGTGGGCACCTGCAATCCCAGCTACTTGGGAGTCTGAGGCAGGAGAATCACTTGAACCCGGGAGGTGGAGGTTGCAGTGAGTTGAGATTGCGCCACTGCACTCCAGCCTGGGTGACAGTGTCAGACTCCGTCTCAAAAAAGAAAGAAAGAAACAAGAAAGACGTAAATTGCTTCTTCCTCTCTTCCTTTCCTCCCTCCTTTCCTTCCTCCCTCCCTCCCTCCCTCTCAAAAAAAATAAAGAAAGATGTAAAATCAACCACCAAATTTTGCAACTTAAGGAACTAGAAAAACAAACTAAACTCAAAGCTTCAGAAGGAAATAACAAAGATTAGAGCAAAGATCAATGAAATAGAGAATAAACAACAGAAAATTAATAACATCAAATGCTTATTTTTTTGAAAAGATCAACGAAATCAAGAAAACTTTAGCTAGATGAACTAAGAAAAAAAGAGTGAAGACTTAAGTTATTAAAATCAGAAATAAAAGTGGGGAGATTGCTACAAGTTCTATAGAAATGACAAGGACTGGCCAGGTGCGGTGGCTCACGCCTGTAATCCCAGCACTTTGGGAGGCCGAGGAGGGTGGATCACAAGGTCAAGAGATCGAGACCATCCTGGTCAACATGGTGAAACCCCATCTCTACTAAAAATACAAAAAATCAGCTGGGCGTGGTGGCGCATGCCTGTAATCTCAGCTACCCAGGAGGCTGAGGCAAGAGAATTGCCTGAACCCAGGAGGCGGAGGTTGCGGTGAGCCGAGATCGCGCCATTGCACTCCAGCCTAGGTAACAAGAGCGAAACTCCGTCTCAAAAAAAAAAAAAAAAAAAAAAAAAAAGAAATGACAAGGATTATAAGAGAGTAGTAAGAAAAATTGTATGCCAAAAAATAGGATAATCCCGCTGAAAGGGACAACTCCTAGAATGACAAAATTTACCAATACTAAATCACGAAGAAATAGAAAATCTGTGTACTATAAATAGTACACAGATTATTAAATCAATAATAAAAAAATCTCCTAATAGGCCAGGCACCATTGCACTCCAGTCTAGCAGCAGAGCGAGACCCCATCTCAAGAAACAAATAAAACAAAAAGAAAAACAAAAGAAAAACCCATCAGATCACATGAGAGCTCATTCACTCTCACAAGAACAGTATGGGGGAAACTGCCTCCATTATTCTATTATGTTCACCTGGTCCTGCCCTTGAGATGTGGGGATCATTACAATTCAAGGTGAGATTTTGGGTGAGGACACAGCCAAACCATATCACGAAGTCTTCATATAAATAGGGTGTAACCAATAGGAAACCTCTAAAGGGACTTAAACCCTAGAAGATTTTGCAACCAGGGCTCTTGAGCTGCTTGCTGCAATCTGCTCCCACTCTGTGGAGTATACTTTCACTTCAATAAATATATGATTTCGTCTTCCATTGCTTTGTGTGTGCATTTTGCCCAATTATTTGTTCAACATGCCAAGAACCTGGACAGCTCATAGTCAAGACCCTTCACTGTTAACAGTAGTAGTTATTATTTTGATTATCACCAAAATCTTCCAGCTTGCTGAAGTCGTTACTATGCCCATTACATTTTTTTGTTTTGTTTTGTTTTGAGAAAGTGTCTTACTCTGTTGCCCAGGCTGGAGTGCAGTGGTGCAATCTCACCTCACTGCAACCTTCACCTCCCTGATTCAAGCGATTCTCCCACCTCAGCCTTCCAAGTAGCTGAGACTGCAGGCAGGTGCCACCAATGCCTAGCTAATTTTTCTATTTTTTGGTAGAGATGGGGTTTCACCATGTTGGTCAAGCTGGTCTCAAACTCCTGACTTCAGTTGCTCTGCCCACCTCGGCCTCCCAAAGTGCTGGAATTACAGGCATGAGCCACCACATCCAGCCTATGTCCACTAAAATTTAAACAAAACTGAGCTCGAATCCCCTCCTGTATCTGAGTTCCTCCCTGCGTCTTTCAATATTATTATTATTATTTTGAGATAGGGTCTCATTCTGTCACCCAGGCTGGAGTGCAGTGTGGCATGATCATGGTTCACCGGTGGCAGCCTCAACCCCCTAGGTTTAGGTGATCTTCCCACCTCAGCCCCT